TAGCAAGGCTAACAATTGTGCTAAGTTTGGAAGAAATTGGTGTACCGGTTACCAAGATATACACATGTAACCATAAGTGGGCATGGCTACGCCCATTTTTCAAAAGATTATAATATTTTTACTTTTCGTCTGAAATTATTGTAAATATCAATTTTGAGAGAATTATCTTCAGTAGTTACTAAAATATCGCAGTTTTCGTATTTCTGAAAATTACCGTTATATGGGAAGTGGGCGTGGTTACAGTCCGATTTCGCCCATTTTCAATACCAACCTACCTTGGATTAACGGAAACCTACACACCAAATTTCGTTTCGATATCTAAATTTTTGCTCGAGTTATCGTGTACACGGACGGACGGACAGACGGACAGACAGACATGGCTTAATCGATTTCTCTATTCATTCTGAGCATTTATGTATACATTTGTCTATATCTATCTAGATTCGTTTTGGCTGTTACAAACAACCGTTATGTGAAAAAAATTAATATACCCTTGTGCACAAGTGCGCTCGGGTATAAAGATATATGATAAAAACTTATCAACTTGGTAACAACTTTGGATACAATAAACAACTGTATTCGTCTGATTGTCTCGTAGTTCATTTTTGTTAAGACTTCTACCGGGTGTGTGGCGCACACATGTGCTTTTTTTAAGAATTTTTACTTCTATCACGTGTACGTGCTATTAAACTAATGCTTTTTTCTCAAGTAGTTTTGCTCAGTGCACGGTTAAAAGTTTCGATTTTAATTTTAAACTTTTTGGACTACATAGATATATGACCAAACTAAATTCCGTTTCAAATACAAACCTTCCAAGACTAAAAAAAGAGAGCACCTATGTTGGGTTTAGAATTTAATTTTTACCATATATGAAACCTAGAAACTAGAATTAAAACATTTTGGTTTGAGTTTTAAACCACGAACTTTTTCGACTAAAATTTAAACCAGAACATATTAAAAATTGCTTAAAACTGTTGACTGGTTTAAAAAGTAGACTATAAAAAATTAAAAAAGGCAGCAGTCCCAGCGCGGTTTAAAAACTAAACCCAAATTTTTGACCTTGAGGCAATTTATACATATGTATGTATGTAAGTAGTAGCGGCACATTGGGTGAACTAAATGCATTCATACATACATATTTATGTACAACTGTAGCTAATATTGTACGCGTCTTGCCAGGTAGGTTAAGTGCGGGTGATAAACACATGTAGCATAGTTAAATACTGTGTACATAACTACAATTAAAACGGGGAAAATGTTACAATTTCGGCATATGACTGAAAAAAAACTCTAAAACACACATAAATTGTGGTTTCCAAGACAAGTACAAAGTGATTAGCACAGCTGCATCCTTCAGCTTGTCGACTCGCGGTAATTTTCCCGATTTGCAGAGAATTTCGATTTGAGTGGCAATCGGGGAATGGGAACTTTTGTCGGAGCACTGAGTATGTTATTTTTATATCTTAAAGTAACCAAATTAGACGAGTATGTTAATTTTTAACCATTTGACCCTTTTTGGAGCGACATTTTTTCAGTTTGAATCGTAATATCTCCACAATAAGACCTTTCCCAGATATAAGCTATATACCGGATGAAAGCTAAGGTTTTGGGATAGATTTGTGGAAACTAAGAATAAAATCGACTGACCAGTTTTTGAGAAAATTCTCGAAATCTATATCTTCAGCAGCCCAATTTTTATTTTTCAGGCGATAGCGTTATAATATATTTATTTTTCTTAAACACGAAATATAGCGTTAGATAGCTTGTTTGAAGACCCTTCTACTGATATCCACATCAATGACATGGACTGAGTAGTGCGGACTCAGTGGTAGTTAAAAAAATTGCATTTTTTTGAATTTCAGGCAGCAGCCACACCCACAAAGGCATACGAATCAAAGCATCCTGGAACAAAACCTTCTTAGTTTTTTTGTACTTTAATTCCTGAAAGTTTGAAAGAAATTAAATGAAGGTACGTACAGACGCCGCATACATACCAAAGCATCTCGTAGTGGAGACACGAACCAAAACACATTTACCCCATATCTTTCCAACTAGTGGCCGGAACTGAATATGTAAGGTATCGTTTGAAAGGTGGCCTATAGAATAACACTAAATATGTTGGGTGTGCCCACAGGCCCCCTTAAACCGGCAAAAGCAAAAATACGTTTTTTGTTTCGCAACACTTTAGCCTAATTTTTAAGAATCCGGTTAATCGCTTATGAAGCTTGAATACATTTTCTGGACACACTTTGCAAGACCTTTCCAACGATATCTCAAACATGTTGATTGGACGTCTGGATAAAAACTTCCAAATGTCGTGTATATATAAGCGAGTCATTTCAGCATTCTACTGTGGCTGCTTTCGTCACTCGCGCGCACTGCCGTGCACTGTTATAACTTAAAACGTAACGATTATTTTCCGAGCAAAAAATAAAACTTAAAACGTAACGATTCTTTTCCGAGCAAAAAATAAAACTTCAAACGTAACCATTATTTTCAGAGCAAAAAATAAAACTTAAAACGCAACGATTATTTTCCGAGCGAAAAATAAAACTCAAAACATAACGATTATTTTCTGAGTAAAAAATAAAACTCAAAAAATAATGATTAAACGATTTTTATAAGTAAAAATTAAAAAATAAAAATCAGTGCAGATGAAGGTATTCCGAGTAATAAGAAATATATTGGTTTACTCCTTATGCTCGTAGCATTTCTCTTTCAGTGTGATTTTTCGGGTTGAAATTTCAAAAATAATCATTATTTGCGGTCCCTTCTTAATAGTATTTAGAAGAAGCACATCGTACTAACTGAAATTTTTTCGCCTGCGGGATATTAGAAGTAGGTACACTTTTAGATGCATGCATGTGCATTTTGCAAGCCTTTTATCTCGTATCTCTGTATTTCACTAACTCACTGTGTGAGGAAACCAAATAATGTAGTTATTTCTTAACAGAAGTGCCTAAAATTTAACAATTTGGCCAAGTTAAACACAGCTGAAGCTAATTTTCAGTATTTCTCTTACTAGCGCCTGAAACTATACTTATTATTTAGTAAATTTATGGCGCTTTTACGTTCTTTGACAAATTACGCTCTGCTAGCCATACATTTTACTATGTTTTGACCGCCTTCGTATCAAGACCCCTGGGCCATCTAGGGAATTAATTTATATTCTATATTGCATTGTCATTGTGATTGGAACTATGCTGAAAATTTCAAGTCTCTGGCGTGTCGGGAAGTTAGTTTAAAATCGATTGGAGATTTCCGCGGGATGACCAAGTAAAGGCTTGTAAAGAAAGAACCATTTTGAAATATGAGTGTTTTTAAACAAAATATTTATATAATTTCTTTTTGTTATTTGGTCTTTACTTTTTTATTCTTCATATATCCCACGTAGTAATAATTTTTTAACCACTTGCAGAAAAAAGGTACCCGAAGTTTGAGGAGAACTGTGTACACAAGTTGTATTCAACTTCTTGATATTCGACTAAAAAAAGTTTGGAAAGTCACTATCGATTTAGCATGTATTTTTTCCTTGAATCAAGGATCCGCATTTTGGTATATGTATTTATTTATCTATTTAGAATACGCGTTCAGTTTACGTATCCATAACAACAACAACAAGATAATTTAATTTTTAACAAAAAAACCGACTTCCACTCTCATATAAAAAAAAATATATATATATATATATATATATATCTCATGATCCACTGATCGGATCTTAACCAGATTAGTATGGGACCACCTCTGAGACACTACCTTTCCGATGCAAAAAGAAATCGGTTGACGTGGTCCAAAGTTGCAGTAACATAAAAAAAATATAAATAAATAAATAAATAAAAAAAAGTAAAAAAATATATTCCGACGAACTGATAACCTCCTCCTTTTTTGGAAGTCGGTTTAAAAAATCGATAGCTCAGTGCCTACATCCGAAAATAACGAAAATCACTGTTTATTCGAATTTGAGCGCTTTTCTCTCATTTATGAAAAGGTTTAGCAAAACTTTTTATGAGAAATTCGGATGCGTTGATTATTAATCTACAAATATATCAACATATTTAGTTTACTGAAAAATTGATATTAACCGACCTAATTCTGAAACCAAGGAAAAACTATATCTACACACAGAAGTAAGCTAAACTTTTTATGCCAGTATCAGCTTCCTTGTATGAAACATTACAAAACACTTTTATTATCACATTGAAACGAGACCTGCATAAAGGGCCAAATTTCAAAATTTTTAATTTAATTGAAGAGATCTACCTTGAATGCGAAGAACAAAAGGCCAGAGAATTGATATCTGTATAATTTTCGCGCATTCTGCATTGCCTCAGCTACAAAATGGCATTCGATTCATTTCGCTATCTGCTTTGGATCATAAGATTTTCTTTTTAATATTTTTTTATTTAGCTTTGTACCACGATTGTTTTATTAGGAAAAAATGAAAGAAGCAACAAAGTCTAAGCGGTAGAAGTTATAGCAGCTATTTCGGAGATCACCACATCTCCTCATCAGACTTCTTTTTTCTAGACTTCATCAAGGATCGAACCCGCGTCATCGATGTGCAAAGTCAGAACCGTCAACCACTGAGCTATGCACACCCCGTAAACTCGTGTTTCTTATTCATTTTCCTTATTCAACCTACTGCTATCAAGTGCAGCTGATTTTCCGCTATTTAAACTTGACAGCGTAGTTGTTGTTGTCAATTCTATACATGCATTTGCTTTCTTGTATAGTTTCAGGATTCAAAAAATGTTTGGCCAAGATGAATTTTTGTAAAGAGACCAGAGGCGAAAATTAATTCAAGGCCAGTCATTCAAAGCGTTACCCGATAATGGTAGTAGAGAATGTGGTTTCCCCTATCATTGAAAGACCGGGTGGAAAGGTATTTGGCTTCACTTGGCTCTTCTAATTAGCGTCAGTTATTACAAAAGGGAAACACGTGGCGTGCTTTACTCTGCCAAAATAAAAAATAATGATTATACGAAAGCTTTTTCTACCTGCGATCATCCATTGGGAATCCTTCTTCGCCGCTTTTAAAGCGCTGGCATTGTGTGTTTATATCTGCACAATCGCAGCGACAATTCAACGTATGCGCAAGACGTAAATTTATATCAGGCCACTGTTGTGCTTGTTGCCATCTCATATTCTCTTGGAATACAATAAAATGCCTCGGACAACGACAAACCGCACCAAAATAATCCTCGTTGTTGTCGTTAAGGCCAGTACGATCTTCCACCTGATTTTGTTGATCTCTGCGCCTAAACTCGAAACCGGAACGCTTATCCCGTGTGAATAACTCTGGTGCAGAGGTAAAGTCTGTACGATTTATGCAGTGGCATTCGGTATCGTTTCGTAGTCGTAAAATTTTTATTTGAGGCCGTGAGTTACTCGAGTTCACTTGAATAACCTGCAATAGAAACAAAGAATTTTTGAACAAACAAACGTACCGTGAATATATCGAGCCCTGACCGCCATAATAACGTAAGCGACATCTTTTTCAAAATTTTCTTTTTTTTTGCATAAATATTCTTTGCGCACTTAATGCATTTCTGCATCAAAAAGAAAATTTTGAAAAAAATGTCGCTTAAGTTAGTTTGGCGGTTAGGGCTCGATATGTATTTACATATGTACATAACAGAGACTGGAAATAACTGGTACACTTTAAATACATTGTAACTTTTTCTATCATTTACAATTTACAATGGAACATAAAAAAATATTTTATGAAACATGGTTGGGCGAAATTGTATTTAATAAATACTTAGCACTAAGTATTTTCACAGCACTAAATACTAACTACACAAGTATTTAGTTAGTTTCACTTAACGAAACACCACTTACAAAAGTACTTAGAGACTTTGAGGCTTCTTTTGAATACTCCGTAGTTAATATGCATTAGTTTTGACATGACTAAATACTTAATACTTGCTACCACAGTATACCAGTAGAAAAGGTTTATGTTGTTGTGGCTGTTAATTTGGTCCCCATAAATGACTTGAGGGTTGCCAGCAACTGTTTTGCCGCATTCAGGGTGCTGTGCAGCAAAATAATGTGGTGAAAATTTTAAAATCGGATAAATGGCGAGAGAAATATTGTTGTGCGCTTTATAAGTAAATATGACCGTAATAAAATGTTTTATACTTCAATACAACTAATTAGCGCTATTTTTGCAATTCGAAATGATCTTAAAAATATTTGTAGTGAAATATGTACTTTATGAGTTAAATGGAAACTATCTTATATGTAAAAATATATTCCGATTTACTTCAAATAAATGATGTAAAATGTTTTATATATGGATCTAGTTTTAATAATAATATCTAGTACTTTCATCTACATTGCTTTTATTGTAAGTTTTCACGAGTAGTTGCAGTTTTCTGCAATTGTCTCTGGCCGACTATACATGCTAAAGCTAAATAACTTCACAATTTCTACCCTATTAAACGTTTATATTTTAATAAAATGTGATCAATTACTTAAGAATATATAATTTCCGATCAAACTATAACACTGAATGCTTGAGAAACAATTATTTAAATCAAATGATCAATAGTGAACGCACTCGGAGCAAATTTTGGAACACTGAGCGAATTATGCATATTAACAGTAAATTATTTTTAACTTTCTACCCTATTAAACGTTTATATTTTAAGAAAATGTGATCAATTACTTAAGAATATATAGTTTACGATCAAACTATAGTACTGAATGCTTGAGAGACAATTATTTAAATCAAATGATCAATAGTGAACGCACTCGGGGCGAATTTTGGAACACGGAGCGAATTATGCATATTAACACTAAATAATTTCTAACTTTTATACCGTATTATGCGTTTATATTTCAATTTAATATGATTAATTACTGAATAATATATAAACTCCGATCAAACTTCACTACTGAATACTTGATAAACAATATTTGAATCAAAAGATCAATAGTGAACGCACTCGGAGCGAATTTCGGAACACGATATAAAATATGCATGTTAAGACTAAGTAATTTCTCATAAGCTGATGTTTTAATATAATATAATTCATTTCTGAAGAATATATTAACTCCGATCAAACTATAGTATTAATTGTTTGACAAACTATTTAAATCAAATGATCAATAGTGAACGCACTCGGAGCGAATTTCGGAACACGATATAAAATATGCATGTTAAGACTAAGTAATTTCTCATAAGCTGATGTTTTAATATAATATAATTCATTTCTGAAGAATATATTAACTCCGATCAAACTATAGTATTAATTGTTTGACAAACTATTTAAATCAAATGATCAACAGGTAGCGCGCTCGGAGCAAATTTTGGAACACTTCATAAAATATTTACAGAGGAAGTGCATTATTTGGTAGAGATCAAAATGTATTTAACAAAGTGTGATTGAATTTGACATTGCTCCTATAGTCAAATTGAAAAAAATTTGTATGAATTTTGAATCGTTTGTTTATATTTTTTTACGTAATAGTATCTTAAAAGAGAGCCGCACTGAGTTGTCAATAACACCTTGGGCCGTATGCATAAAAACTAAGCAATTACTTTTTCTCAGATTTTCATACCTTTCACTTAAATTTATTTGAAAAAATTGAGTGAAAGGTCTGAAATTTTAAGAAAAAGCATTGTTGTTTAATACACCCATGATACAAATATTTAAAATAAAAACCGCACAATTCGTCGGCCATCATTTACTTTTTGTAGTTTGTCTATTTTATAAAATTGAAATTTTGAGAGCAACTCAAATGCCAATTAAAGGTAAAACAAAAAACAAATAGATGAAAATATTGAAATTTTCATTTATTTGAGACTGATAATGAGAATGTATTTGTGAGATTGGAAATTTGAAAACATTTTTGTAATGTTAGCAAACTTTAAAAATGTTCAGGCTGCCTTTCAACGGTTTTACCTTCAGATTTTTGTACCATGAATACACCTTGCTCAAGATATCACGAACAAGTTTTCCTTTATTTATTTTTACTTAAAATCCTTAAATATGAATCTTGATTTTTTTCTGTAGAATACGTAATAATTTTTTTTTTAACGATTTAAAAAAAGGGAAGACAGTCGGATCTACGTAACCAGAACGACCTGAATGCGCATTGAAGTCGGTTGTATTTTTTGCTTAAAATTATCTGTTATTATTGAGATACAGTGTAGCTACTATTTAAAGATTTCTCGACATACTTTTTCATATTACTGTTATTTATTATTTTTCTTATTAGTCATTTATATGTTTAGGACTTACTGTGGGTACTTTAAGATTCATTTTGTAAATATGTATGTACATATAAAAAACAATTGCGATATTTTATTTTATATTATGAGTTTTATTCGTGTAATTTTTTATGTTTAATAGTTTTGAGAACATTTTTTGGTTCTGTCGATTCTTTTATTGCATGCCTTAAACTTTTTTACTTTAAGTTATAATGTTGAAGATATGCCTTCTGCCTTTGTCAAGCACTTAAGCTAGGTGCGAGAAATTTAGCATATGCGCGTAAGAGCATAGAGTAGGAATACGGCTGTGCTGCCGCGATTCTCCAACATCTTGTCAAAGGAGAAAACATATTGGTGGCGGAAACCATCGAAGTCCAATTTTTCTTAAAATCTACGAAAAAGCGTTCACTGAATCTGAACTGCTATGTGTATTCAAAGCAAGCGCTGCGTTCGTAGCTACTCGAACTTAATAGCATTTTCGTAGATTTCACGAAAAATCGGACTACGATGGATTCTATGATAGCCTTGATTAGTTCGTGCGATTATGACTTATGGATCGATTATGGATGGGAACGGAACCTCAGTTGGGTTGCCGATGGACAGCGCCACTGAAATGAAAAGTTTTTTTATTATGAATAGCAATAATTAAGTTTCATAAAGTTCAAGGTGGTACAATTTAAAAAAAAGTTGAAAAAAGAAATAAAGTATCTCAATCAAAAATTCCCGGCAGCCACAAAAACGCACTTGCCAATATAGCAACTTAGTTGCCAGCTTTCAGTTGCTAGTTGCCATCGGTAATACCATTTCAGCCACTGGCCAACCAACTGAAGTTCGGTTGTCCTCCGTAATCGACCCATAAAATCGGAATCGAATATGCATGCACGTTCTGCTGAACGATAAATATTTTGTAAATGTGTGCTCTGTCCGCTAACGAATTCCAGCCATGTGTGAAATATCGTATGTGAAGCCTCCGTCTGACTTAACGATTGTCAAAGGCATGCCAGAAGATGTTTCATCATATGTTTTCGGCCATCGTCTTCTTCGAGTAAGTTCATCGATACCAAAAACTTTACAACCTATATGTGCCAGCAGCCCTTAGTGTTTTTGCCAATGACATGGTACTATTGCACTGTTAATAACCAAATTAAGCCGCAGTTGCATTCACACGTGATATAATAGCTAGTGTCGGCAAGCTGTGGGAATGCCCAGGAGATGGCGTTTGTTCAGCTATCGAAATCATTACACCGACGGCGGTGGGCAGTTCTGCTGGAACATATTTACCACAGCAGTGGTTGCGGCGTTTTGTTCTGCAACAATAGCCTGCAATGATGACATGTCATATAATGTCGACGAACAAAGATATACAATTTAAAATGACTAACCGTATTCCCGGCCGATTTGGGAGACCACCCTTGGTCACGACCAGAACGCATTTACCAAGAGGAAAAACCGCAGGGATTGCAGTAGTTCTTGCAATCACCGTTGCTGTTGCTATGCTTGTAATTAATAGTCTGAAAATACAAAAAAATGCATTAATGAAATCTTATACACATCAAATAAATAAATTTCAATAATTTGTTTACCATTTCACAAACCGAATTACCAAGAAATAGAAACTCACCGCGATGCGATACAGAAATAAAAACCAACAGGGCTGCATTTTCTTGGTAAACAACACAAGCGCTCAGAGCAAATTGATCCGCAAAATTATTTTGTAAAAATATTATTATTTTGTAAAAATAATAGTTGAAAAGAGTTTTTACACATGATTATCACATTAACTCATAAGTGCAAATTATTGTGATTTTTTTAGTTGCATATAATTTTGTTTTCTAATATTCATTCTTTTGGGACGCAGAAGCAACCATGCGCTCAATTTCTTGTGGGGAAATTTGGTCCCCATAAAGGACTTTCACCACGAAACAGCTACAAAAACCAAAACCTTTTCAACTGGTATACTGTGCTTGCTACTTAGTATTAAAAAAAAAAAGAATTTCGAGGTGTTTGGTACTATTTCTTGTCATTGGACTACTTCGGAACTNTTTTTAGTTGCATATAATTTTGTTTTCTAATATTCATTCTTTTGGGACGCAGAAGCAACCATGCGCTCAATTTCTTGTGGGGAAATTTGGTCCCCATAAAGGACTTTCACCACGAAACAGCTACAAAAACCAAAACCTTTTCTACTG